TGGGGAGGTCCACCAGTGGACGCTGAGCTGTGCGGGCAAATGATACTTCCCGGTTGCCCAGATCGAGGAAGGGGGTTTGGTTGAGATACTCCACCTTGAGCCTTTGACTCAAAAGTTTGACCCACGAGGCAGTGGGAGAATGTGGGGTTTTGTTCGGGGACCCTGCCCGGAGCCGACGACTCAACAATCAGACCTGCTCGGCTACAGGGGGCTGGCCTAACCGGATGTTAGGGAGGAATCCACGCGGATCCCACCATACCGCACGTCCTTAGGCGCTGCTACGGCCGAGAAGCCTGACCCGATCGCGGTTGGCCCAGAATTCGGGACGCTTGCCGGTCCGGCATCAAGGCAAGATCTGATTGGTCGATACTCTGGAACCAACAGCCAATCATAACCCAGTATTGGCCAAATGCCAATGGCGCATCCAGAACGGGTCAGAAAATCCAGAAAGTTATAACCGCTTGTGCTATATATACGAAGCGCTGTACAACTGCTCTTGACTTCGTTTTGAATGTTAATAGATCTTGTGCACCTTTAGTGATTGTTTTGACGTGAACGCTATCTTGGGAGGCTCAGACCGAGAACTAAGCTGAGGAAAATATCGTTACTACACCGACAGCGCAGGGAATATCACTATCATCATCGACAGCATGACATCAGTGTTCAACACCGATGCTTCACTGCCGTACAACCACGACTTGTTTGAAAGCGCGGTAGAAAAACCAGCGCGGTACGTTCGAAATCGGTTTCGTTTTTCCCTCGTGCAAATTCGTGAAAGAATTTTTTCGTCGTTCAGTCTATTCACAGAGTACACACGAGTAATTGTTGAATGTTATTACTCTAACAAAACATTTGGGTGACTACCCTTTATATTTTGCGCATACCTCCTATTTTACATCTAGTCCGAATCATGACATCAATTTATACTGATTGCCCTCTGCAACCATTGATAGACCAAAATAGATTTTAGCACGTTGGAAGTTGGTGTGCAGTGCGTTTGACATCACACTCTGAAGTCATTTGCTTTGTCTAACCCACGTTTCTGATTAGCTGACCTGTTCATAGGCAACTTGGGGTGGAATTGTGCAGCTATACGTCCCTATTACGATTGGAATCATTGCAGAAAGGGTTGTTAGATGGAATGGGTACCTTGTCCGAAAACATGTTCTTTAAGTAGGTTCGAAATCGGTCTCGTTTTTCCCTCGTGCAAATTTGTGAAAGAATTTTTTCGTTGTTCAATCTATTTACAGAGTAGACACGGGTGATTGGTGAATTTTTTTACTCTAGCAAACGTTTGAGAGATAACCCTTGTTATTTTACGCACACTTCCTATTTTGCATCTCGTCCTAAACATGACATCAACTTATACCGATTGCTCTCTGCAGTCATCGATAGACCACAACAGATGTGGGCGAAACGGCCGCCCGTCGAACCTCAAACGCGATATGCAATGCATCGCCTGCAAGGCCTTGCGGCATTTCAAATGCACTGGTTTTCAGGACGACCAGATAAGCCGACTAGCCAACTCTNACGATAAGGTCCAGTCTCTTCGTCCCTCCGTTTTATAGACGAGCCGTCTTTTATGATGCATCATGTCACGACATTTCGAGCAAACCCCTCTCTCATGAAGTCGGCTTATATGGGGATCCATTCCGCAGTCCGTCGTCTTAGGCCTGGAATGTGGTGTAGGCTCAACTTGCCAACCTTGATTGTGTTGAGGCATGTTTTATCTGGTCCGCAAAATCTACTCTGTGATTCAGGTCGATGGCTTTTCTAAGTCACTTCTTTGGAACGGTCTTCATGGCAGGAAGCACCGACTGTCTTCTATGACTGGTATTGGTCTAAACCCATCTTAGATCCTCAGATCTAGCAACGATGCTATTACTAGAATGAAGTGTACTGGAAATGAGAATACAGAGTGCCGTTAAATAGCTTCTTGGTTTAATTGCCCTTCGTTACAGGTTTTCAAACTAATCGTCAATTGGGGGAAAATCCATGAATAAATTCGTTAGATATAAGGGAGAAGATGCACATTGAAAGTCAATGAGTCGTGCAGTGATCTACGAGTTCAAAGGAATTAACCGAAAGCGATGCCGTCAATGGAACTGGTCAAAAACCCGTTTAACCTGTTCTTGCGTAAAGCGCCTACTGAGTTAGAAATTGGCTGCTCGTGTTCGATTTAGAAACTTGTGCTGAATGATTTGGTTTTTGTTCGTCTCATTGGTGTCCCCACCAGAATTTACAACCATAAAGTAACCTGGCTGGTTGATCATTCGTCTCCTTGAGATCAGATAACTGAAATTCTGGCTTTTTTGCAAATGGTTAACCATTATACGCTTTTGTTTGAATAACATTCCACATACTGTGATATACTTTTTCCTGATTAGCAAATATTCCTTTTATGCTTCAGCGTCAGTTCTGGTGATTAGGGGATTTCCGTACTTTTGGGATCGCCGTTTTTTCCTGGCGCAGTGATAACCAGTTTCAAGTACTAATTCCAATGCTATCCTGTGTGTTCCGATCCTGTGCTGGATTTCTACGTACTGTACTTCTTCACGAAACTAGCCCAAGATGCCTGTTAGCGTTTCATTATGGCCCATCCGCGGTTCTTCCGGGGGCCTTATCTGGAAGTGCTTGCTCTAGGAAATCATCACGGACCTGTTCTACCGGCGCTCATGATTTATTCCCACGTGACCTACAAAAACCGCACCCTGATCCAAAGGCTTCACAGCCGTCCGCATTTGACGGATCACTGGAATCATTTGAGCAGTACATTCATGACGTAAGTCGGCTTGTCAGTTTGTCTCGTTTATTATCTTGCACCATCACTTGCCTGCCTATTGTTACGCCTGATAAACTACCAAGTTTGTCATCAAGGTCCTTGGATCCCCTGTTCGCCACTTTTGTCACTTGCTTCACTTCATTATGGTGGTGCAGTTATCAAGGTTTTTTCTACAACTATACTGGTCCACTTTCGCTGACGAATTTGGTTTTGCTTGCTAGCTGCTGAGCAGTACCATTTTCTACCGCAAAACAGCACATCCAAACCACAGAGAACCAAAGTTATCAGCCAAATTCACCGGACACCGCAGTTGTATCTTTGTTGTATCTGATTGTCGATGGTGCACTTCTTTCAGACGGTTTATTAACTGACACTGTTCAGTCTTTAAAAGAGTCTTTAGAGGACGCCATTCAGGCCCAGGGTATTTTTTCAACCGTATCCATGATCTTCCATGTACTGAAAATTGAATTACTGAGATTTAGCTTAGAATCGATGGGGATTTAAAGCTGTTTTGTCGTAAAGAGGACGAATTGGCTTATATGCCCTTTTCGCGCTCTCTTCTTATGATTCTAACGGTCACACTGTTAATACCTTAAAAATGGTAAAACTTAGGCAGTACAGTGACTAGCAACCTAGTGATAGGTCCACCACAGTAATGAGTTCAAATAAATGATCACCTGACCACTTGACTTAAGTAGTCCGCTATATGTTCTGGATCCTAAGTCAAAACCGCCTTATCGCTCACAATTAGACGTTACAACAGTCAGCGAGTCTAATTCGCATGTAATTCATCGCAAGATTGGGCCGCTTATCAATGGTTTGTTCGGAGTGTGTTTAATTTTCGAGAATTTTGTTGTATACGTTTCAATTATGACATGCTGTGCGTGTTTTTTAAATGTTTTTTGGGTAGCTAATACACTCAATGTATCCTTGATGGTATCACTGAAAAAGCTAGCTAGGGGAGACTGGGCTGAGACATCGCACTCACTGCAATTGACGAAGGGGAACCCACTATGCTTGTTGGATTAAATCAGCTCCGAGAACCTTTGCAACAGCAACAAAAGCATTTTGGAGCAGCTCAACTGGAACTCGCCAAACCAATGCCTCAGTAACTGTGTCCAGACACCAACAACCAGCACCAGTGAGCCTTCTGTTTCTACAGCTGATGCAATCGCGACCTCAATCACTGAGTTCACAGTTGACCCCGTTTCCGGTCACACTTTTGAATTGTGTTTCTAGCGGTACGAATACAGTTTCGGAAGTGATTTTTCCAAGTTCGACGACGGATAGAAAGGCATATTCTTGCTGCGAAAATCCAACACATCGGATCATGATCCATATATAAACTTCATTCTCCGCGACATCTGGTTTGATGAAACTGTCAAAACACTGTCAGATATTGTGACGAAATATCGCCGTTCAATATTCGTTATCAGTGCCTCAAGTTGGTCAAGAAAGAATCGGGAAATAGTGTTTCTACTCCAACCGTGGTTGTCTTCTTTTAGGCTTTTCTATTTACTTCGATGCACGATGAATTTTGAGGAATCTCTGGCAACGCATGCCTCTTCTAAGGCATTCCGCTTTTGTACACTGTAAGGAATCCAGGCTAATCGACAGACGTCGAATTCTCAACCATTACCGCTCTGTCCTAGATTTCGACGTTTACCATTCTGGTAAACATGTGAAGAGGGCTGTGACAACCTTTGTGGAGAGTTGGGTACCTTTTAGCCGCCACAGCACTCTATCGAAGCCCGTCGATTAGAGGTGCTACTATATCAGTGGTCCTAAGTATACCCAGCTTATCCAGACTCCGTTACTGTTGATCGCTCTTGATAACAATCAAAACATGGTGATATACTTGTGATCATGTTCAAAGGGACTCTGTTTGATGAGGGTCAAGAGCCACACAACAATTGGTTTTTGTCATTTTGAGGGTTCGGTTGAGTGCAAATATCAGATTTATCTCAGTTCTAGAACAAGCATTGTCTAGTCATATTCGACAATGATGGAAATTAGCTGTCGTCGAACATCGGAGAAGAGTTCTCTTGGGTATTGTCAGTATAGGCTGTGTAAATCCATACAGACATTCTTTCTTACTCTATAATCACGAAATCAGTAGGTGAAGCAATGCGTGAGAATTTAGCAAGTCGCTGTCGGATGTTTGGTTCGTATTGTACTTGGAGGGTATCTTGGTCTTTACAGTGGTCGTTTCAATATTCAGTTATAAGCCCCCGATTTTAGAAATACAACTGGGTCATTTCACGTGTTGAGATCAGTGAGAACATTCGAATGCATTCCTTGGCAACTTCGTCTACTATGTTATTCAACAGCTTTTTGTGTAAGCAGGTGATTAATACTCCTGTGTGTTCACGGTCCAATTATTTGTCCATTTGCTATTGGACAACTTGGTTTCCAGCCTTCAAGGTCGGTGGAAGATATCCTTTCGGTCGATGTGAGGCCACTTCCGGCGATTGTTCAGCTAAGCTGTCTGGAAGCTGTTCTCAATCACTATCACCGGAGCAGTTCATCATCCCTGCAATCCACGTTGCAGTCGTTTGAGAATACCGTGCAACCACATGGTACTGGATACCATGAGCAGTGGCCTCAAAAGTATTTGGCAGCCGAACACACCGCACGCTGGTCTGACTGGGACTTGGGAATAAACCCATTCGTTGACAGCCACAATACAGAACGGCAATGGGTGCACTCACCGCGATTCGAACTGTTGTTGCTTGCTACAGCGGCTTCTGCTAACCAGTTACCCATCCCACATCTACTTCGTTTGGCCGGCCATTTCTCGTATCTTTGGCACTTTTATGATCCGAAGGTGTTCGCATCCATTCTCCGATTACTTACTGGCCAGGTAAGTTTCCCGAAGTAACATAGGTCGATCCTCAGGAACCGCTGTATATACCCAGAGAAAAGTTCAGCACTTTCGTCTCCATGATGGTATAGTTACTTCTTCATTACACTCCTTTGCTTGATCTGTCTCCGCTTGGCAACTGTCTCCGCTTTGGCAACGACAAAATTTTCCCCTTTTATCTCATGGAGTTGTCACATCGAGAGCTTTTAATTGTTTACACGCGATACTATCAAGGGAACTGGCATTTCTGGGAACAACTCTTCTACTCAGCCATACTTTCTCGGATGGCCCAAAAACATTATCTTCTTAGTAGTAGTCTGCCCCCATGGTTGTCGTGCCAGATATTGAAACAGCCATGTTTATAGGGTGCCCGATGCCGTGAGAACCGTCAACCCGAATGTGTGTTACCGACAATGGGCGGCAAATACAATCGAATATGTTCATCTCTTTCTAGTCGATTGGTACGGTAACCTAAGGCGGATACGAGGAGCATGTCATACCCAAATCGGTCGACACATTTTGTCCGGTTGTGGCAACATATTCAGTTAAATGCCATTGAAACTCCCCCATTTTCCTCACACGTCTCCACTCCCTTTCAACACAAAGCTGTCGAATTCGCTTGAGCAGCTACATAACACATGTAGTATCTAATCACGCACTGATTTCTTCGATAATCAGAAACACTGAAGAGTTCTGCTGCGTGATTCGCCAGTGGGCTTGGTTACGAAATCCGATGACATTTACTGTTGGGATTGATACATTGCAGTCCACCGTGATTTCGATTAGGTTGTCAATTATATTGCACTTTATTCTTTCATTCCTATGCGATTGTCTTGATTTGATGTGTTTTACAACAGATTTTATTTCCACAGTTGTTTACCAACATTATCAGCACGGGTGCGTCCACCTGTGCCTTACGACTTTTCCTGTCTAGGTTTGGGCAGCCTGACAGTATTACAATCCTCGTGCTTCTTTCGGGTGGCATGGCAGTTAGGCATCAAAAGGGTGTTATAGCTGAGTGATTATTTTTAATTTATTAAAGCCGGTGCTAATGGGATAGGGGTCACACACTCGCCTCGCAAATGAGGGTCCAATCTCGGTGTGTTCAAGGGCATGCATGATTTACGAGCTTCAGTAAGGACAAAAGTCGAGTGTATTGGATCACCGCTTTGGTTTGGATTAGTCCTCAGGACTGTTGAAATGATACTGTTTTGAATTCAGTGTTGAAAACTTCCGTACCCTAGTCAGCTCCTATACTACTTAGCGAAATTTTCGATCACATGAACCAGGTCGAATATGTTATACTTCCACCCCCTTGGGCAAGCAGGGTGCCAAAACGCTGCTGGGACCATTCTTTAGCCATTTTTTCGCCATCCACTATCATCATCGGATGTTGAGTGCCACTCAAAACTACTGCGCAAACAATGACAAAGTCGTCGCCATGGTTCCGCTTATCCAAAGTCTGTCGGTCCCGAATTTCTTGCCGGAAGCACACCAGTGCACCTTGCTGGCGCGCGCTGAGGTTCTTAATCCCTTCGTGGTTTCAGGTGATGTTTTCTCCACCCCTGTCTCTGTCAAGTTCGAGCCAAAACTCAGCACTTCAGTTTCTTGATTCGGGATTCTTGACTCACTGTCCGTTTCAGCCTAGGTATACATATCCCTCCAGCTAGCTGCTCTACTGAAAAACATTTGCCCTCCCTGAAACATCCAAATGCACTGATTAAAAGTAGGAGTAACCCGCCCTCATGTGTTTGTGCTTGTCGGGGTTTTCCCATTCATCATGCAGTAGAGCTCACGTCACGACGTCAGACTATTCCCCCCAAGGATGAAGTTTCCTATTCATAGGGAGTTTGTTCTTGGAATTGCATTCCTGGAACTAGTCAATAATGCAGGTAACTGGCGTCCAGGTGTTGATTTTGGAAATGAACTTATGGCTTAAACTGTTTTATTCTCCAAAATATCATCCGCTGTTTACAGCTAACGGTAGTCGTAAGCTCTGATTGAAAACTTGCCAATTATATCCACGTATTGTAAAACGTTTTCCCCATTCAGCACATCTCGCGATGCTGCCGAACAAATCTGGGATTTTCACACTATCAACTCATCTTATAGGTTAACGAACTGGGGTTGACTGACATATTTCGGCTCACATCGGTTGTTCGAGACATCCCACATCCCGTTGATCCAAATACATCAGATGTGGTTGATCCTGCATCCGAAGACGAGTCTGGAAACACGCTCCCTATTCTGATCAAGGAAGCAAACCTACTTAGGACAGCACTCCGTCTACATGTTCTTTCAAAAATGAGCGGACTGGATTCGTTTGACGCGGTCACTTTGCTCCGTTTTATTGAGGAAATCGGACCTGGATTGAACAAGACGGACCTACAACAACTACTGTATTCTGTCGAATGCTCTCTCATCTGCAACCCGCAACAACAGAGTCTGTATTCACTGCTCTTTATGTGCAGTAGATTGAGTCTACTCCGTCTTCCTCATCGAGGAATTTTAAATCGGTAGGCAAATCTGGTGGTATTATATTCCGTTTCAAGGTGATACCAGTTATCCTTGGTTCTTCCACCTAGAGCCACTTTTTGATGTTCTGGGGTCTGGACGTGCAGTCGAACTATTAGTGGGTTTCGCATCCGGAGTTATACATAAGTTCCAGGATAATTTTTTCTATTAAGCTCGTTCAAATTCTATATTTTGGCAACCTGCTACTACAGTGAGTGGCAGCGTGGCTCCTTTCCCATGCAGAGCCAAAGCGCATCCTCGTATTTCCCAATAGCACCCTCCAATCATTTGAAAAAACCCTCTGCTCACCAGCGCTTTTTCCTTTTAGTTGTTTTTTTCAGTGTTGCTCACTAAACCTCCAGTAGTGTTTTTCTGCGAAGTGCCAGCTTCTCGCGTTTCTTCTCCTATGTAAACCAACCAAAATCCTCTTTATATCAACTCTGTGTTTGCCCACTCTATTTGAAGTACTCTGTTTGTTCTCAAGGCTAACTTCCCATGGATCATCATACTTAATCCGATACTTCTGCCGTTCATGACTGACGCCGCAGAAAGACCACACTTCTCTTGGGTCTGATAATGTAGAAATGCAGACAATGTTAAATAATTCCCACTTATGTCTCCTAGCTCATACTCACAATACAACTAGCTACTGAAAGACTGGATGGAATAAACTTCGAAAATCTTATGCATAAAGTGACCGGTATTCATAGTGGTCATTATCATCAACGGCCTTTCAGTTTTGAACACTGATACTTCACTGCCTTGCGGCCATAATTTGAGCTAAACCAGATGGGTTTTCCTGGATGCGTACATATTGTTAGGTATCTGCTGGACAATTTCTGTTTTGTGCGACGTGAGATCAAGCGTATAAATCCCCAGCTACGATGTGAGCTCACCGACCCTTTGCGCACAAAACATGAACTTCGGAGAACTTTTACTGCCTCGTTCAAAGGCGATGTACCATGAGCAACACCATAACTGTGTATTCTGCATGACCACATTCAAAGTGTGGTAGGACAGAATCGTGTTCCTTCGGAAAATAACCAAGATCGTGGGAAAAGGCACGAAAATTTAAAATTTCTCGAGACAACAACCTGACAATAATCCAGCAATTTAGGTTTCTGAGGAATACTGATCTTCCCAACGCATGTCTTGGTTGCTTGTCCAAAGATGCTGCTGTCTCTCAAGTGGGTTCGACTGGGATGAATTCTACTAGTTAACACCTTGGGGACATTTTCTAATGCTTCGGTGTTTCCCACCGTTGTTAAAATTTAGGTGGAAACCTGAACAATTCCGCCTTTAATTTTACACTTCAGACGCTCTGCTCTGGTGAGATTATCAGATGCGTAACATTTTATGAGGACGTATAGACTTAGGCCCTTTGATCAGGTCAGTCTTTCATATTCCAGGTAGCCGACCGGGCCCAGATGAGCGTTTTATTTAACGTTGTGTCGGTTGCAGATGAAATAGGAATCATTTGAAAACGATAACCATCTCCCCTGGGAAACAGCTTTCCGAAGGATAGAGATTCCTGGTTTATCAACTATGGTTTAACTGTCATTCCCACATCCAGTTACATTCGAACTATCAATTTCAGCGTGTAGGACCGTTTGATTCTCACCAGTAACTGGACATCCTCTCTGTCAAAGACTCATTTGAATACTGATTTGGTTTTAATGAGTTCCAGCTGAATCCCTGATTGACGGGGCTTGCCAGCTCAATGTCCCGCATGATGTTTCACCGGGTACGATATTTGAGATGACTCAGTGGTTACTGACCAGAAGGTCCGTGGTTCGTTACAGACCTCTGCCTCTCGACTTACCCTGTCTAGGCTTGGGCAACCTGGCCGTATCCCAGCCCTCGTATATCCTTCGTGTGGCATGGTAGCTAGGCACCGAACGAATGGAATTGATATTCGAGATACTAGTACGCTGATCATAAGTATGCTGAAGGTAGGCTGTCGCCGAGTTTTCAGCGACATTATGGGTGGCATGTTGCTTCCAAACAATGAATAATCTCTTTTCTGTTGCCATTGTTGCTAATTACTGACTTCAAAAATGCCAATTATGGTGTCCATCGCGTATCTATCCTTGTCGGTTTCCCATCTCACAAACAGAGGAACCTTTGGCAGCTAGAGCGAATGTACAATCTGTGCATGGCACACAGCAGGGGTTGCTGGGATTTAGTTTTTTAATGTTAGCTGCATCCGACAGCCCTTACGTCTCTCAGCACACATTGATTGTCAGCTTCTTGTTGGAGTATTTTGTTTACCAGATTACTTTCGATAATTTCATGGAATCTGTCCACTAAGTCGCTCCGCTTTACTTACTTTATCTTATGCTTTGTGATGAGTCGCGAAAATCTTGGTCAGAAGTTGGCATTGGGAAATGTTTGATGATCAGCATCCGAAAGCATACTATCGTTTTTTAAATGACAAAACCAGTGGCTTGAGTGATTAACTCTAGTCTTGAATCCGTGAATTCTTTGGATAGTTAGTTAAATGCGCACTTGCGGTCTTCCTTCTCTTCTCTAAAACTGTTTCCTCCGTCGCTCGTCCGAGCATCTAATGAGGTTATTTCTCTGTTCCGCCGTGTATATTTCACGCTGGTCCACACTCTTCCTAGTGAATCCCAAACCCTTGCTATCCTAGGATAGCACTTTCAGGTTTTGAATCGGGTTCTTTTTTTGCCTTGATCTTTATCGACCCATTCTAACGTAAGCGTGTGCGCCACGTTCATATGCCTTCCCTATCGGGTAGCTTGCAAAAAACTTCTCACCATATGAACTCGATATCTGTCATCTTTTTCTCTCACTCTTGCCACAGGACATGTTCACTTGAAATGACCCTTCTCTTTCTCCTACATTTCTCAATTGTGCCACTCATCCTTTCTTATCCAACTCTCTTCTCAGATCTCACTACTCTATTACCTCTTTTATTACAGTCTATCTTGTGAACACTTTGAATTTCATATGACCTCTTGCTCGAACGCCGAATTAGCGTTCACCTCAATCCTCTTTGAGATTTGTCTTTTTGTGTGTATAGGTTGTGTTTCCTTTTTATCTTCACAGGGAGTCTGACCACGGGCCTTGTTTCCCATGTGATTCACATGAATGAACCAGTTCGACTTTTTCGTCGCTCATTTTACTAGGATTATGTTGAAATTTAAGTTTCCGTTTTCTGTACCCTCTTCGCATGCTGTAGCTATTTCCCAACTATTTCTATTTAACTTGGGGTCTCTCAGTAGCGTCCTGATTGTTATTCCTCAAGATCCACAGAAATATCCACTCTTTTTTGGTTTCCCGGTACCCTTCACATCATTCGGCCACCCGAGCCAAATGCCGAAAAGTTTAAGTTACTTGGAAATTGTAAGTAACGAGTGCATATAAGCTGTCCGGCCGCCGAACAAACCAAGCCCTCCGACCTTCAGGTGTTTTCTGATCTTTATTATTGGCTACACCCTTCATCTCATTCCACCTTGTACGCATGCAAACGTACGTAATTATCAGTCTGAATCGCAGTGGCCAAAGTTTGGATAGATATCTTGGGTGGCTCAGTGCATGTCTTCCAATACTGCTTTATACAAACAACTGTTCGCTCAACCATCACAAAAGACAATTTCATCCTATCGCGTTCGGTATGGCCCATAGAAAACAATAGACTGAAACCTGCCTTTTTACATCATTCTATACTTTACACTCAGCCTTGCCTTAGCCACGTACACAGGTACGTGCTGTGGCGTTTGATTAATATCGACTGCAGCTTTCAGCGGCTCTGCGTCTCTTATTCGCTGTCTTTTTCGTTTTTTATGGTGCGTATGTATTCTTTGGAAGGAGTGTTGTAGACACTGACGACCTGATCAACATTACTAAGTAATACTGATACCAGGATCCAGGATACAAAAGTGAGAAACGAGAGGTAGAAAGCAGCTTTTGAAACAACGGACAAAAGCATCAGGTGAACATCCTTATCAGTTTTTGAGAAATACACTCATTCGCGAATCAATTTGGTTTTTTTTCGAGACTCAACTGAATCTCTCGCTTATGATATTCTACAACTGAATGTGCTGCACACAGGCCACCTCATGATTCAGTTGGCACGATATTCGAGATATCGCAGTATATTTTCATAAAGCCATTACCAGCAAACTCAGCTGCGCTGGTCATTCCCGTCTTATGGATTGGGACCTCGAGACGGGCCATATCAACGTTTTGAGACATTGTCAGACATGGCTTAGGCGCGCCCTCAATGGCGCTCATACATCCAAGCTATTTACTTCAATGCATAGCTCCCTTCCCACCTACAGTGCTGTATTTACGCACTGATTTATCAGTTTTCACCCCCGAGGCGCAGTCACCTACGCCACCTCCCCAAATCATCGGTGAACGAAGCTGTGGCAGCTAAAACCACTGTACGACAAGTACGCGGTTATTACAGCTGATAATAATGATGATGACACTCACAGGGGCTATGCTCAATCTGGTCAGACTTACCGGACAAAAATGTATGAGGTACGTTCTGTCCGGATTTTTAGTGTTAACGGGAGTACTCTCATGAAAAAAAACAATCATGGGTTGGTTTTTCCCTCGTGTCCAACGGATTTATCGTTATTGCACACAAATCCTTTCACCATCCCAAAATCTTTTGAATAATGCTTTTAATCAATCCCTATTTGAGTACCTTGTCTTGCTAGGAGATCAGTCAGCTTTAAAACATTCGCGTGAAGATTCTCGACACATCCAGTTACACCTTTTGTTTTACTATTTATCTTCGTTGCTTGTTCTCGTCATTTCAGAATCATTTCCCAGGTTCAGCGAAAGTTACGTCTCGCCCGGCGTCTTCCTAGAACCGACCAAACCCGGTGGCTTGGCGCAGTGGTTGCGGCGCTAGCAAATGTAATGACTGGCGCCCCTCAGACAGTAGATCAGTCAGTCGATGCCGTGGAACTTTTCGCAAGACCTCCTGTAATGCCAAATGCCAAGACACCTGATGCATTCATCAATAACTCGGGCGTCGACTTCAGTAATTTGCTCACCAAAGACTGGGTCCGCCAAATCTTCACAGATATAACCGGATATTTAGTCTCTAGACCCACCAGTGAGTCTGATTCTTCGCGGAGTTATCTGCAAGAAGTCGCCTACTCATTGGCCCTCCTGGGCTATCGGGCTGACAGCATTTTAGAACAAGCGTACGTCGAAACGAATGAACCTACTTGTGCTCCGCCCACCGATCGGCCTCCCTACGTCACCCTTTCTGAGCTTTTGATCGGACTGCCGAACACAAGGTTGCCTGACGCAACTGTCAGTGAGTTATTGGATTTTACCCGTTATTCCACTTTCCTGCATAAGTGCTGTACAAATTGAACTGATTGATATCACATCGGATATCACAGAAACTAACGGTACCAGTAAGCATGCACTTATCGGTGTTTAAGTTTCCGCGTACTCTGAAGCACGATATCGAAACGTTGAGTTGTGAACAAAATGCAGTTATCGTTGTGTTTCCACCGCTAGTCAACCTGAAGTCGGAGTGAGATTTCATGGAATCGAGCTGAGAGGTGCGTCTTCTAGCTGGTCCCTCCTACCTTTCGTCCCCCCCCCCAAAAAAAAACTCATTTCGTTTGTCCAAAGCACCGATTGTATGCCCAGTTTATGTGTAATACACAGGCCGCATGGGAGACGAGATGCTTTCGGTTTGAGCAAACAGAGAAGGCATGAATGAGGTCTACAACTTGCGCCTAACCTCTGAACTGTTCGCCTCTGCTTGTTACGGTATGAATTCAACTAGTTCGGCTCACGTTCCTGTGAGACAAAACACCTCCCTAAGTTGCACGTAAATTCTCCACTAGGTAATACTGAGCATCAACACATTGCAAACAATTTACTCCTCCATCTCTTTTCTGCTGTTCTCGATAAATCAGTTGCTTATTCCTATCCTATCCTGCATTGCAAACAAACTTGTACGACAATACAATGCAAACCGTAGATCACACAGACAAAAGCTTACGTGCATTGAGCGATTCAGCTTTTTCGCTAGTGATATGCTACTACCTTAATCCGGCGACTTTGCATACGACGAAATATCGTAAATCAATTTATGTGTATGGCCCCGTTACGACCATACGCTTGTCTGCTATAGTCCCTGGGACCCGACTGTTTATTTCTCATGTTTTGGTTCCACAATGCTAGATGTTCACAGTGTATATATATATAAGAATCCAGGCCCAGCTGACTGCGCAGCCGGAATTTAACTGGTTTGGGCGGATTTCCAGCCTCGCGCACAGTGAAGTACTGTAGAAGGCAAGATGCTGATAACGTTCCACCAGTTGTGTTTACTTTTCTGTATAAAGCATGGGCACCCTACCAGTCACTGAACGTTCCCAAACGTCCTCAAATTTTTCTTCTATGCCTCCGATCTTTATCCTTCGCCATCATTCAGAGATCAAGTTATCGCAGGCGAACTACAGAAGTTTGAAGCCTTTTTAAGCACTGTACTTGTCTAGTCTGCGGATGCACATACTTTAAATGCGTCGCAATGCTATAGTGAGGCATTTACCTCCCCTTGTTATGATAAGATGTACTTTTGGCTGGTCCTTTTGGGTTTATTATAAGGTCCCGAAGTCCCTCAACTCAGACCACGGACCGGTTGTAAAGGAAATTCCCTTTAAAAGAGTCGAAACTTTTATCATTTCCGCTCGTCTGATATGAAACTGAAAGTAAATCCCTTTAAAAGTGTCGAAACTTTTATCATTTCCGCTCGTCTGATATGAAACTGACAGTTCTGATGTTCCTGAATGTTGCCGGTCCACCCATAGGTAGCGCAAGTCAAACCATTGTTTGTGCGCTTTTGTCGTTTGACACCCCCGTTTCGTCTATATTATAGTGAGTGAATATCATTTGGTGCAGTTACCGAATAAGCCATATATAGGACATTTTCTTGTTTCCTTTACGACCACTTGTTGCACGTGACACGCATTGGTGTAAGTGTCACCTACACATCCATGTCAGTAGGTTTGGCTCTAATAAACCAGTGGTATTTGCTAATTGGTTGCGAGGGCGTGATAACCTTTCTTGGACACAACAACGAATAGTGATGCATGCAATTGACAGCAACCTTTTCGTTACTATTCAAAACCACTTGGCAGAATCCTATGTGTGACGACGCCTTCCCGCGGCCAGCAACTCGTACAAGTAACGTCAACAATGGACTGTGCGAATATATTTACGATTCGAACGTTTACAATTATTTTCCCTAACTGGTTTCAAGATTCACTGCGAAATGTAGTTTTGACGATGCCGTCATATTCATGCGATCTCACGCCACTCCCCGGAAGAACTCCCATTTGAAAGATAACCCTAATTTGTGTGTAAATGTTTGGGCCGGAAGGTGGGCGCTGTTCTGACCAGTTGTTAAAAAACCGGGACTCTTATTTTAATTGAGGAGGAGTCGGTTTGTCAATCTCAATAGTTCTCAACCCTCAAGGGTGGTTACCAAATAATGGAATCTGGATTTAACTCTGTTGTCCTATTCCGAAAAAAACAGTGACTAGATACCGTAACTGATCTCCTTAAGGCTTACATGATGAATTTCGGTAACTAGTTTCTTGGTCAATCTCAAGAGCTTGTCTTTCTGTTATGACTTCCTTGTTTTCGTAGGTACATCTAAATTGCTTTCCTGAGTTGCTTTAGGAGTTCTGGCCTCATTGTTCTCCGGGAGGGGTCCTTTTTTCTCATATTTCCTCAAGTCGTTATAAGCGTACGTAATCATAAGTCTGACCGTTCGTCTACTGTTTTTTTGTAAAGCAAGTGTCCGAGCTCGTAAGTGGCTTGTAGGTAACGAAGAAGGACGTAATTTTGGCGAAATTTCCCCATTAATGAACTGTTTTGAGAGTACCAAGCCCGAATTCATTCATTCATATTATTGCTGCACTTTGAACCAGTCAAACCATACTTTGTGCATAATCATTGCACTACTGCGATTACTTTCGATCATACTGAGTTTTCGGTACGTGAATATCCTTACATCGCGTGCTTGGTGCACTTGTCAGCTGGCAAGATGTCACGTAAATTTTCACGTGTATTGTGTTTTGTGCGTGATCTGTCCTTATGTGTGACCCGAAGACCTGTCCTTATTCTTGAAACAGTAGCAGATTTTGGCTGTTGTGTGATCATTTTGCGAAAGTTGGATAGGCTCCTGTAGACTGAGGGTACACATATTCAAAAGCATGCTGAAATGCGTAACCTTGTCATCAAGGTATGTACTCAATTACTAACGCCTCTCCGTGCAATAAACCCTCTGTACAACGATTGTGTGATTGTACGTAGTAGCCGATTGTGTTACTCTCTTATACTGTTGTTCTGAAAAAGACTCTTCCGAATCATGACCACCACCTGATGTTCGGAATGCGTTTCTTTGCCTGGGAGCTGGAAATCTTCTGTTCTATTTTCTAGTCATATATTGTTTGCTCACGAATGATGTGGTACTTTAAACTCGGTTTATTTTTTCTTATTTTAGTAGATTCGGTCGCTTGGCTTCCCCGCATTGAGTGGCAGTTCTACCTTCGGCTTTCAACGGAAATTAACTTTGAGTAAGAGTTGTATCGTAACGCGAAATTCCTATGGATAAGTCTGTCTCTCAGTTTTCATAACACCTTCAGCGACAGTTCGGCTGTGGCCGCCTTTGCTTGTTTCGGTTGTGGGGACTTGCACCAACAACGATTTTGGTGTAAACATCCCTTAGCGATGTTCCAGTCTAAATAATTTTAAGTTTAGGGAAGTCGAACTTTGCGAAGCAAACCCTGGCAAATCAAACATGGCGTATGTAGATTTACCGTTTTGTAGTTACTGGACTACACAACCTCACTCAAAATTTCAATTCGCGATTTACGTTTGCGGTGTAAGCTTTAATTAATGATACGGTACATTGATCTCAGTACCTCAGTCAGGTAGATGTTGTTAATCATAACACACGTGGCTGTGTAGCGTTGTAATTCCCGGCGTCAGTCACCCTGTTCTTGACATATGGATCAGAGTTTTCCACGGAACCAAAATAGTTTCTAAAGATAGGTACCCAGCAGATCGTAAGTGTGGTGTACGTCACTTGTCTCTTTTGTGCTCATGAATGGACATCTTCTTTACCTGCTGCAGAATCCCAGTTACTGATTAAGTACAGAAACATATCCTAAATAATTTATCTCTGCCAGTCTAATAACTCCATACCTCTGTAAATAAATCAATTAAGCGTAAAGCCTGAGCACAAAATTCCGCTTACAAGCACCTCAGCAAGAATTCTGTGAAATACCCCAGTGTAGCTCATCTACTGTCGAGAAGTTTTAGGCAATCTGTTGAGTATTATTAGGTTTTGTTTTGCCAAAAAACGACTTGTCTATAATCCGATTTGCGGCACTTGATTCCTGTCACATGATGGCATCAGCTCATTAGTTGGATTTGTTGTGGTCAGAATCGGTCGCAGTTAGTCTATTTACGATGGTCATTTTTTCCGTGATTCAGTCGTGAATTCCAATGACTAAATGCGGGTAGTTTGTTGTTTTACGGTGTTGGTACTGGTCGCAACATATCTTGTCACCATCATTATTGGGACTTCGCTGATTTCCTCTGAGAATATCTCGGACCCTTCATTCGGCATGATCGATTCCGCAGCCGTACAACAATATAACCGGTACTTTGGTCCGATACATGTCCTTTACAACTCAGTGGTATGCTTTTTGGATGTCTCAAGTGGAGTGAATTGGTCTTTGAGAACCTTTCATTGCCTTCGTCCCTTACACTACCGTCAGAGCCAGCGTAGCTTCCACAACTTTTGACCTGCTTCTTCCAACCGCTTGAATTCTTAAAGACATGTTCAACCGCTACAGCATGACTTCCCACCATCTTAAATATAAGTTACGTTGAAGTAGCTCATTCCATTCATCCATTGGGTCATCAAGTTTATTTTTCGCTCTAGCGAACAACCCTTCCATTCCGGCACAGCGGATCAGTTGAAAGACTACGTGAATGTGAAGAGCTCTGAGGTTCTATCAGTAACTGATGCGTTACTGTCACGAGTCCACCCGAGGGCGGATTTGAAACTGCTCAATTTTCATCGACTGCAGCTGGACGGGCACGGTAATTCGTTTTTCTCAGGTGTGTCACCAAGTTTTTTTGTTCCACCCCATTGTCTGCTACATTTGTCAACACATATTGGGTATGGGTTCCTATATGCTGTTTCGATGTGCCATTGCACAATCGTTTGTCTCGCATCTGTAGAACTGAAGACCGTTCAATGTCGCTATCTACTTAATGCAAGAAAAGTATCCACGGGTCCAGTTAAATTGGGATTTTGGTCTAACACCGCTCAAGAAACCACTTTATAAACGTTCCATTGACAGCTTTTTGGCGCTGGTCTCATTTAGTCGTCTACAAGTTAGCTTGAAACACAGAATAACAGTTATTCTATTTGAGCTTCCGGCGTAATTGTTCAAACGATGAGGAACTGTTTGTCACCGGGATTTAAACAGTGCTTAGTGACGGGAGCTACTGTTCCGAATCGAGTTAATACGATGAACTGAAATTTTACACGGACCTCGAATGTGTGCCCCTTTGGTAGAAGGATTCGAATTTATGCGACATACTCTACAAGTCATCAGTCGGTGTCTTGTCTCTATTAAACTAATAATAGGCGTAGGCCAACAGAACGAGCGTACGATTGTGCAGGAAAGCGAACGGTGTGAGCATATTACAGTGTGCTCGACTCGACTCAAAATTCCAATGAAGATTGAGGTGATCTGAGATAATAAAAAAGCAAGTCCAAATGGTCAGCCGAGTGGTAAGATTGAAGTTCCCTATGGGGAGAACTCAGGTGGGTACACGTTAGTCGGTGATCACTAGAAATAGTACTATGTCAGACCAACAGAAGCCCTAGGAGGCTGTTTCACTTTACATTCAATTGAGGAATATCATAATTTGAAGACATGTCAGTCTCAAAAGAAATGCTTTTGCTTCTCACATCCACACCGGTGGCCACTAAACATTGCGAAGCCGCTAATCGGTTTATGGAGATTTCGAAGCAATATTTCTCCATCACCTATGGATTGCGACCTCCAAGCGGAAAATTCCTTCAGCCCTGGTTAGGCGTCACTCAGCTGGCGGCCGGTCTGAATCGACCAGATCGCTAGTTGCGTATAATAGCCGAATGAACCTTAAACCAGATATGTCCTCACACACTACCTTATGTGCGTGCTATGCAGTATATTGTACATGACATAATACTCTCTCTACTTGAAGCCTTTTTGGAATGTTTCTCACGCAGCATGTGACGTACGTTGGATACTACCACGGACCGTAAGGCCAAAGTGGTTCGGAAATCTTATTATTTTAAACGTCCCAAACTCAGCCTCCTCACTTGTCTTTCGCTGCTTCATCTTCCATTGAGTTGTATGTTTGGTCTTTCTTGGAATTGTCATCAGGGTGAGTTTGTCTGTCCGTGCACCTGCTTAATTCCCCGCGGACTGCTGAAAGGCGATATCATTTTCCAAATTTCGCGAAGACCGGAATAGCGTGTGCCAATCTCTAACATTTGTGTTACCGACGTGAATTCAGGTTAGCTGTCAAGGGTAGTGTGTACGGTGTCACAGTGCAATCTGTCCTAATATATGGATCACAGACGCGGCCGCTGCTTGCGGAAGTTCTTCGGAGACTATATTTGATCGTTGGTGCCTTTGAAACAATGCGCGCATCAGGTGGAAACATCGGATCAGTAATGCTGAGGTACTCCAGATGGTCTTCGCGAAGTTCCTCTCCTTCGATAGATCAGAAGATTCATTCGATCGTATTGCACGCTGATAAAATGCACTCTGGATGTCTGAACTCCATTGACTCTGGCCGGATTTTCTGACAGATCTAGCTGTTTTGCGTTTACCCTAAAGGGATTGCTTGATTACCAGTTCTGAAGTAGATTTCTCAGTATATAGTTGGGCATAACCAGGAGCATTCATAGGAAACTTGAACAAGTGTGGAGTTGAAGAACCAAATGTCGCACTTTGCTTTTACCAGACCAACTTACGGGCACGCAAACGGAGGCGCGCACGTCCTTGAGAGTAGCTTCAGGAAACGGCATTTACAACCCCTACATCGACAACCCTTAACGGCTTGAGATTTGATCATCAGCACCCCCTGACCTCTCTTCTATTAAACCAAATCTTCATTTCACCCTCTATGGACAATGACATCTTAGTTCGCACGACGTGACCGTTTGAGGATCCGGGCTATTTAGTTGGGTGACTAGCCACCTGACCAGGCTGACAGTAAAGATTAGAAAGACTAGACTAACTTCTTTGGCGAAATACACTCATCTGCAAACATATTTGGTTTTTCGAGAGACTCCCTGGAACCCAGCTGAATCTCTCGTTTGTGATGTTTCCAGGCAAATGAATGTGAGCCTACCTGATGAGTCCCAAAAAAGAGCGAAACCGGTCGTGGGTTGTCGAAGGCTTTCAGCAACCTTATGAGTAGCGCATTATGTGTGTGATATGTGTGATATCTCGAATGTCGTACCAACTGAAACGTGAGGCAGCCTGGTGCAGTACTTCAGTTGCCTGGAAACTTAACAAACGGTAAATTCAGCTGGGTTCCAGGTGAGTCTCTCGCAAAACCGAATTTATTTGCTAATGAGGGTATTTCGCTAATTTGGTGCAATTTGGGTTCAAGTAGACCATAACGTTGACGGAAACTCGAGGACTGCGCCTACCTGATGAGCCCCAAGAAGGGCGAAACCGGTCGTGGGCTGTCGACGGATTTTCAGCAACCTCATGAGTAGTGTATCATAGATATAGACTAACCTCCATCAAGTTCGTGCGATACAGAGAATTTTGTGATTTTTTTAACACACCATATTCAGTTGTCAAGCTGATTGTGTAGCACTTAAGATGCGCATGATAGGTGACCCGTAGAGCTAAACCTCACCTCCTAAAATGAAATTGTCGATGATTAAGAGTTCTCTAAGTCATATAACAGGCTAGGTGATGCCACCTGAAACCAAACCACTCCTTTGTGTTCCGTATTTCTGATGTGACCGATAATGCTAGTATCTACTGTTGCGGGGCACCCTATTTCATTGTTAGGAATCAGAGTCCTCTTTCTGTTTTGGGAGGAAGATCACCTTCTGCCAAAACTCGTTTACCATGGACCTCGGACTTTCCCCTCACTAATGGTCCCTCTTTGATCCTCTCAATTAGTATGTATATCCTAGGTGAGGGTAAATCCGTGAATTTTAGCTGAGTTGCAGTCATGGAGTTCCTAAGTTCTTGTAGTACTCGCCTCTTGACTACTGTGTCGCGTGAATCATCTTGGGATTCCACTCCTAAATTTCAAGTATATTTGAATTTGGAAAAGATGATGTACTCACTGTTCTGTAGTCCTACTTACTTCGCTTTGCAACGGGTCTGACTTTCATGGCTCCAAGTTACCGACCCCTCCTCCTGTTATTTGAACTAACTGAGCTTGAAAATCGGTGGGACACATCCCGTAACACTTCATAACCGCTAGGTGGGTTTGGCCAACTGCAAAGGATGCCGCTATCATCCACGTTTCTGTTCGTTGGCTTGTTCGCTGAGCTGGGCAATTTGGTTGCAAACGTTTCATCACCAATCGAGGTGACATCATCGACATTCTCCTCTATAGAAAATCCACGTTTCTTATGTGCTTTTGGCGTTAACTCTGTATATTACCAAAGTCCTAAACCATTTTTCCAGAATTGTGTACGAATTCCTGTCTTATTGCATCGTTTTGCGGAAGCAACACATTTTTTCCTTTCCAGATATTCTTTTCAAGAAAGAATCAACCACTTCACCGGGTATGTCCTTTTGCATGTTGGGAGTAATGCGTTTAGAGGTTTAGTTCAATTCGTCTTAAGTATGCGTGTTTTTGTTGAACGGTATCCACATGCTGGTACACAATCTAAAGTCACCATCCGGACGGTTGCAGTTAATTTTATACACACAGTCTATAGTCCTTTCAACCGCGATGCGATGTTTCAATTGCACTAAAACTGAGCGTAGCGTTTTTCCCCTATGGAAAGCTACTCGAGCAACCTATTCACTTGGTCTTACCAAGCTTTTGTATCAAAAATGAAGCGTTGTCCAACAATAAATCTACCGGTTGTTAGTAGCTTTTCTTTCACAAACCAATACGGATGCTTGCTGTTTTTGTGGTTCTCTTCTGGTTCGGTCGAAAATACCTTTTTTACAGTAATACTCTGGTGTCGAATGCCCTCTATGCGTTTAAAATACCATGCACTCAGCAATACTTCATTTCATCAATTGTTGGTAACATTGTCAGATGGACCAGTCGTACTCTTATTCGGGGTCATGCATCCAAACTGTTGCCTTCAATGCACAGTTCCACTCCCGATCTCCCCAATGAAAAGTCCACTGTATTTACGCATCAATTACATCATTTCTTCCAATGTACAGCTATCTACCCCACCTTCTCAAATTGTTGCTGAACGAAACCGTGGCAACCATAACTACTGTAGGGCAAGTACACCGCTGTTGAAACTGATGGTGATGATGATAAGTACTCAATTTCAGCTGAGATGAGACAAACATAGCCGCTCGAATAGTAACCTTTATTCGGGGCATGCATCCAAACTGTTGCCTTCAATGCACAGTTCCACTCCCGATCTCCCCAATGAAAAGTCCACTGTATTTACGCATCAATTACATCATTTCTTCCAATGTACAGCTATCTACCCCACCTTCTCAAATTGTTGCTGAACGAAACCGTGGCAACCATAACTACTGTAGGGCAAGTACACCGCTGTTGAAACTGATGGTGATGATGATAAGTACTCAATTTCAGCTGAGATGAGACAAACATAGCCGCTCGAATAGTAACCTGACTCTATGTGTACCGGTCGTCTAGCAGTCTCATATAGAGATTAGACGCAAATGCAAAACCACTGTTCTGTTCTATTGTTCCACAGCTGGATTGCGCATAAGTTGCATCCCTGAATCCCATCCGTCTGTAGCCTTGGCATCTGGTGCATTCACATGACTTTGGTTCTTCGTGCGCCGTTTGTCATGGGGACCTGTCGTAGTTGGAAATATCAGCTGACATGCTTTATATGAAGGCAAACTGTTCAATCATGTCTAGTAAGCAAACACCCAATAGGAGAAGAGAGGACGCCCCCAGAGTTCCCGCCCTGATGGTTTATTTCGGATGCTTGACACCGTTGAAACACAGGATGAAATTCATCCCACGACTAGCATCAAGAGGGAAGCGCTTCTTGCACTCTCTCGTAGATTTCCTTGGGAAGCTTTCGTGTAGCTAACTGCTTCTACAACTGCGTCTCTCATTGTCCGACATTGTTTTTGCCTGGTGTTCGGTGGGGCAAGTCCATTTCCCTTCGACATCTTATTAACCGAACCCCACGTTCACGGTTTCACAGCTTTGTATTTCCAATGTCATTCCTTCAGGTATCACGAAAGTTGCACTCTGTTTCGTTTGCTACAAACGTGACATCCTCATCAGTCGTCCCTTGCAAACATTGATCCAAGCGTACGCATCAACAGGTTGCGAAATTCCCGTGCTAGTTGTAAGTTTCTAACGTTTTTCGGCGTTTTCAAAGCGACAGTTCTTCTTATCAGTCGATATATCATCTTAAAGCTTACTTTCTAGTCAACTAGGGTAAGCTAAGCTAAACTGGATGGTTTCTCCTTACTGTCGTTCTTAAAAAACTTGTCACCTAAATGAGAGAGTATGATTCTTAAGTCCGGGGGACATTTCAATTTGCGAAGTGCACAATCAATCGCACCATTTCCTCATATTCGTTGAGATAAACATTTTAGCACTGATCATCCTATTGCTACATTTTCTGTCTGTATCTAATGGTTGAACGTGGTTTTGTAATAGTCCTGTGGGCTATCCTTGCTTGGACCATGTGCACGCATGTCATGAAGATCAAACACGGTAGACAACTTGCAGCACTACAAATTACAGTACTACGGGGCAGAGTTGAGGTAAATTCCTGCTATTCTCTGCCAAACATCTGAAGTGCGATTTTCGCACAGATAAACAACGGTTCCATATTCGTGGAAGCAGTTACATCATCTGCCGCCGACAAAGACGTGGTTAGAAAAGCTCCACCAAACGTTGCACATATCGATCATGAACGGTTGACCACGATCACTGTGGTTGAGAATCTGGTGCTGTTCAAAGAGCGCTTGCTGTGCGACTTAACGTCATAAGTCGAACATTCGTACCTTGCTACTACTAGTGCCGAACTGAGGCCCTTCGATCTTCATTCGTAGCCTAAACGATCCAGGAGTTATCCCTGTTTGCAAACATACGGCTTAAGAAACAAACCAACGACCACGTGCAACCTGAGACACTAATGTTCACCTTGGTTGCAAACTCCCATAGTCCTTCTGGGCACGCGTCTGCCTGCATATCCACATGTTCGACCAAAGTGATTTGTCATTAAACAAAACTTCACTTTACCTGGGGCTTAGAGTTGACAATGGGGCTAGATAACTCAGTGGTTAGGGCGCGAATTTATCGACCCGTAGGTCCATGGTTCAAACCCGTGTTGTACGGATTATCTTCTTGTGATTGTGATAGCCTATCGTGTCACCATAGCTCCAGAATGTTACTTAAACGTCTTTTTTGGGGTTGGGAGGGGCTTAGCGTCTTAAGAAGAACTTGACATCGTTTGCATTACCAGTCTTTCATAAGCACAAGCTCAAGGAGAGGACAACACATCCCACAAAAGTATGGGGCAATCCACGTTTTCCACCACAGTTCATCTTCTGTTTGATGGTATCGAATAAGTTTTGGTCATGAAGGAAATCAGACCTAGAATCAGAAAGTAGGCCCTGCAGAATGCTACCTCTTCGAGGGATACTTTGATCGCTTCGCTACCAATCGGTTATCGATCATTTTGCTGTGATTTAGACGGAAATGTGTATGACACTTCGACTTGACTTCATCATGTATTTTTCAGAACTACTACTAGCTCCGTTTCGCTGTCACATGTGTTTACATCACTGTATCCTTGCTGTGGCAGTTTATTCCACGAGATCTTAATCCGGTGGAGGTCAGCACTACATGTTGGCTGGTCTAATTTCACAAGATTGAACAAAAAGGTAATTTATGGTGATGTTGAAGATACAAAACTGCGCCTTACCTTTTCGAACAACCCAGCACTGTATATTCATGTAAATGAGTGACAGTATTAAGTATGCAGATGTCTCAATGTGTTGGTCCAATTTAGAAGATTGGCATTACCAGTCTGCTTATTGCTTCAGCTGACCAACAAACCCTCCGACAGATATTTGCCTCTTGCCTGTAGTGTTTTTATGTGTGGTCGGTCGATATGGAAGTTCTTTTAAACTGTATTGACAAGATAACTCCGTCATTGACTCCGAGGCATGGGAGACTTTATCGACGATGAATGTGGAGTCATTTGAACCTATTGCCACGTTGAACGCGGGGACTGGTTTTCAGGCAATACCAACTACATTTGAGATACCCGCACTAGCATTTTAAAATTAGGCTTATTAGATGGAAAAAATCTAGAAATACTGCCATCTCCATAGGACGTGTGATCACCCAGCCATCGGTATACCTGAGGTTACCACTTGTTTTCACGAGGAGATAATCGTGAGATATTTGGATGAGACGCTTTTCCTGTTACCAACAGCCTTCTGTTACTTCCCGAGGAATCGTTCGGCCTATTAACCTGTACTCTTGACTCCCATTTCATTGTGAACTAGACCGATTCTAATGAGTATGCAGCTTTTATACGAAGAGATCATCCTCATACCTGTCAAGAGTACGTCAGATTGATTTAAAAGGCATTGCAGAAGGGATTGCAGACTCTCAGGTTAAGAGGGTATCTGGAAGTAGTTCCATCATTTTGTCGCATTTGGTTGTCGCTTATCCATGTTTTTACCCTAGTTGAAGAGTTTACCATTCTTGTGGGTTCTGGGTTATGTTCCCACTGACCAAAACTCATTTATTTCCATCCACTAGAAGTGGAGTTGTGAAAATTTCAGTAGTTTTTCCGCCCGTCAATATTTCGGTTGTAATCCCAGTGGCCTAAGGTGCTACCGCAGTCATTCAAGCGCGGACTTGGAGCAGGTTCAGCCTGTCCAAAAGAAACGGTAGCTGATCTCCAATCTGTATTTTCATACACCATCAAGGATCCCCTCCACACTAGTATGTCAAAACAACCGATGCCTGCTTATTGAACAGTTGAATGTTGACAATAGTATAAAAATGTTGTTTGTAGCATGTTTTTTTCACAGACCAGGGCTAAGCGCTAAGGTATGCGCCCATAATATTCTTTCAGTCGTGAACAAACAATCTATGAAAAAAAATCAGTTTGGATTCATTCACTGATTTCTTAGGTAGTTCCGTTCCAGAATCAACTTCAGCGGATGGTTATCAGGACCTCCGTGCGAATTGTCAAGAAACTTGGGTTATTTGTTTGACCACTCAGTAGTCAGACTATCGGCTTTATCATAGTTTACGTCCACTTGAGAGCTGATTTACATCAGTTTCTTCTGTATTGTTCCCGAGATCACCTTCGATGGGAGGTAGGCAAGACGACTCGAAGACTGTCCTTCAGGTTCAGAACACCATTCGAAACGTCATCATGAGAGACAGTATTGACATTAATTTTTCACTGTAGTACAACCACAGTGTGTTTAAACCGAAAAGGGAGAACAAGAGAAAAGTGGATGAGCGACGGACCTGGCACTAACGCATCGCGTTTTTATACCTCCAAGTATTCAGACGATCTGGAGAGAGACTGATAGCACGAGCGTCACTGACATTGATTAGTATTTTCAGTCTGCAGGGATGTCCAGGGAGCTCCACCAGGACGCCACCTTGAAGACGGACAGCATTAACAGCGCATAAACTCCTCATATTCTCTCTCACATCCTTATGCCAAAACATACTTCGCAGTTTGCGCCATTTTGAAAGAGGCACACGAAACTATACTATTCTCGGAAGATAATGTTTCGGCGTGCGCAGCACGTGGCCGAGCCACCGCTCTGAGGATGTAGTCCGCAACAAAAATACCTGCTTCACAACTAAATACCCGTGTACCTCATTAAGAGTTTGATTACTCCATCCGGCACGAGCAAAGCTTGGGAGTCGTCAGAGTAAGAAACCTGAAAAAGTCTAACTTCCTATGTCCGGAGAGACCATCCCTGCAACCATACAATAGCCTTCACTGTAACCTAGTACAGGCGACCCTTGAAACCCAGTGGTATGCATTTTTGAGGCCACAGGTGACGCAAATTAGCGGACGTGATTCGAGCAAAGATTGTAGATTGTCTGTACATATGGTGTTGCTCTAACACCTGAAGGAGTGTGAAGATCTGGTTGGTGCAAACTCTTCTTGATTGCAATCTGGCGTGATGCTCACGGGTCAAGGATTCGTGCCGTGGAAGACGACGAAGAACTAGTAAAACCAGAAACCTTGTTACAGCCGGAGCCAAACTGACGCCTTTGTGGTTGCTATATTCACTGCCAGTACGTTTTGGGGGATCTGCACTATTACCGTTTCACCCGTTCTATGGGACGGTCTCGCTCCCTCAGGTAGACGTAAATAGGATAAACAGAGGAAATGACAAGAATTCACTACCATCGTTGAGCGGAGCATGTGAAAGGTCATCAGGACCAGCAGTACGATGACGCCCGATCACAGATACATGGTCATCGGTCACTGGTCGAGTATGTTACTGCAGAAATAGCTGCAAATACTTAAAGACGGCGGCTATTAGCCCAGTAGTGATTAACGCGTCATGTTTGTCATGCTTGTTTAGAGTCTACTTGTTCTTCCTTTCCACCGTCCAAACCCCATCGCTTGCCCGAAACCACTGTGCTTTTCCGCGTCTATCTCAGAATCGGTACGCACCTTAACCGCTCATGAACTTTCGTCTCTTGATCTTTTGAACCGATCTTTGCGAAATTTCCATGCTTACCTTTTTATCATTTGCGTTACCACGAGTTGTGCGCACACGTTCGCCATTAAGTTGATTGTTTTCTCCGGGTACGCTGCTTCGACAATGTTTTTGACCCATTAACGCGTTGTTTAAAAATGCGCAATTTAGACAAAAATTCCCATAAGTTGAGGTCTGTATGTCACTCTGTGTGCAGCTACCTCTTGACCTACTTGCTTAATAATACATGACTTTCGTTTCCTTTCAGTTTGATTATTCTTCGTATGCGCCTTCCAAACAAGCTGGGCGATTAGAGCAATGTGATTCGTTTCTCAAGGACGTTCTCCTAAAAATGGTGGAGTCACCGGGTGTGCCTTCCGATCAACTTAAGGTGTGGACTGATGCTGTCCACATTCCCACAAGCTGATACGTGTCCATCAGGCGACATTCACGAACTCCCTGGTGCATGTGAACAGAAATGGCTCTACAGGAGGTAGAAAGAAACAAGAAAAAACGATTTAATTCTTTTTCTGCCATCTTGTTTCACTTCTGTGGGTAACGGATGTTTCACTGGGGTTATTGAAGTAATATCGCTTGCTTGAAAAAACACATTCCGTAATTTTGTAAAACGTTGGATAATGGCAGAAATTTGAAGATTCAACTACAGACTTCATCCGACCAGTGAATCAAAAGTGTGTCGGCGCACAAAGAGAGGCCGACGAGCCACACTGCGCGTCAATCTGTTTCGTATCGTGCACGCACTGTTGAGTCAGAGGGTGTTACGGTAACCAGGGCCGGCGTAACCTTATTAGGGCAACGGTGGAATGCAGGTTGGCCCGTTGTTGAAACTCCCGATGTCGCTAACTATCTGATTGCTCGAAGATCGTCAGTTTGTGGCTTAAGGCGAATAGGTGGGTCTGGCGTTGTGCTTTCTCGCCAAACCAGCTTTGTCCGTGAGCCGGAAGGAGCACTTGGATCGGTTGCGTGCTGGTTAAAAGTTGGTCGGTGTACTACTTCCCCGGTCTTTGAAGTCGGTTAATAGATGTTTGAAGTCATTTTCAGACCCACACGAATTATCCATAGGAACAGCACATCTTTATATGTGCCACGTATGCTTTATAGTCTTGACCCCGGTTGTAACAAGACTGTTGGCGTCAATTGTGCTTCGACGCCTTACGGTGGCTCGCGAAATACTGATTCGAGAGCAGCAAGCGGGATTCCGTCCTGGTAGGGGTTGCATTGACCAAATCTTCACACTGCGTCAGTTGCTAGAACAACGCCATACGTATAAGCGACCCACGATTCTAGTATTCCTGAATTTCCGAGGAGCATTCGACTCGGTTGATCGGTCTGTTCTTCTCGAGACGCTTGCCCA